GGCTGGTTTCCGTAGTGTAGTGGTCATCACGTTCGCCTCACACGCGAAAGGTCCCCGGTTCGAAACCGGGCGGAAACATTCTGAAGTTTTTCTGAGTTATACATATACATTTAAAAAACCAAAACGGGGTGTGGCAGAGGGGGCGCAGCTGCCTAGTCGATCTCCAATATACACAGGAGGAGTTCCGTTACTACCTGAAAGCCTTCTCAGCACTAGGAACTAGGCCTCCTTTGCCTGAGTCACTTTGGACACCGGGACACAAGCAGTTCGTTACTCTGAGGGCTCAGGACAAGTCTTCAGGCTACGTTTACACCCGCAAATCCTCTTAGCTTCTCTTCTAAATCCCTCTACACGCTGACACGTGTTATGTCTCCGAAAACCAAGAAGTTCATCCCTTTGAAGCACAGCTGGCTTTCCCACACCTCAGCACACCTGCAGAACACGTTGATTTGCCTGACAAGGGAACGAACCCGATTCCGCACCTGGGGCTGGAGCCAAAGACGGGTAGAGAAAGAACTTAGGCTCCTCGAATGGAGCTGACATGGCAGGAAAAAGAGCCGGTACCCGTGCCATTAGGAGGAGAGACCGTGGATTCAGGTAAGAGATTAGCAAGGAAACGGATCCGTTCATCACCCGCTGAGAGTCCATTTGGCACCTGACTTATAAGGGCAGTAGGCGTTTGTCCTTGGCTCTGCCGCACGCAGGACTATAGCTAGACCAGGATGGCATTCAGGCCGGTTACCTTGTGGCCTGGCCTCAGAGCCCGAAGTGTCGCTCATGTCGGGAGAGGTAAGGGTGGTGAGCAACAGGGCAAGGACTGGGAGCACTGCACAGCAGCATTCAGCCCTGGGCCGCTAGGAATTGTCTCTTTTTCTATTTTGCCTTTCTCTGAAAGCTGATCTTTCATAATTTTCACATGCAGAGGCCAAGCGGGGCTCTAGCGTGTTTCCCTGGTGGTCTAGTGGCTAGGATTCGGCGCTTTCACCGCCGCGGCCCGGGTTCGATTCCCGGTCAGGGAAGTCTTTCTCACACTGGGTCTTCGCTCGCGGGATTTTCCAACCGCATCGTTGGCTTTTGCCGCAAGACTCAGATGCAGACGAATCTCTGCACTGGTTCCCTAAACGTAGTTGACGTCTTGCCTCAAGATCCTTGGCATCGCCCAGGCTGGAGGAACGGAAGTGTGATGAACAGCCAGAGCGGGGGGTGGCCTGCCGTCTTTCTGCCTTCATGTCAGAAACCTGACGCCTCATTTACAGAGCTTTCATCCACCTGTAACCTGGGACTTCCGTTCCAAAAACTCGGTAAGAAAACAAAACCATAAAATATTTGCAACATGCAAAATTTTTGATATACTAACGTCGTATAGTCTGTACCGAACAGCACAGTTAACATTTTCCCGCGTTTGTTTTCTCACTCTCTCCTCTCCTTTTGTGTAAGAATTGTGACACTCCTGGAGGGTAAGCGCAGACATCTCACAACTCAAGATCACTGATTAGGCGACTGTCGTTGCTCCTTTCTTTGGCGTGTCCCTCCAAACCAGCTTCGGCGGGACCTGTCCTCCAAGAACACGGGAAGGCTTTGTCCTCGCGAGGAGGCCCCTCTTGACCCTTCAGGACCAGACAATCGTCCTCTTCAGGCTGTAAAGAAGCCTCAGGAGGAGTTTTATTCGGCTCTTCTCGATAAAGCAAGCCAGGCACCCCCTATGCTTTTAGGAACACGACCAGGCTGTCATCCCCAAGCCCCAGCGGCCCTCCAGAGGAGTCTGGAGGAGTGGGCTGTGGGGTCTTGGGTCATCTTGAGCATCACTAAAAGGGACCCAGAGGGTAAGGAGCACCATAATGCATGCCTCCACTCTTTCGAGGAACCCTAGATTCCTTCAGAGTTCTCTTGGCATAGGTTCCCTTGTTGTGGACAAGACATAGGTGATTATGAGTAATGAAGAGAGAAATAATCGCGAATCCTTTAAGCGCTAAAAAGGCCGGCCGTGGACGTCCCTGGGTGGGCTCGAACCACCAACCTTTCGGTTAACAGCCGAACGCGCTAACCGATTGCGCCACAGAGACACGCAAGGGGTTCTTCCCCTCATCTCCGTGGAGAGCAAGCTCTCCTTCCACGCGGGCGGAGCCACTCGTCTTAGGACCGCGGTGCCGGCTCTAAAGCCCATAAAATCCGAGAGGTGGAGTCGACTCAGCGTGTTCGTCCGGTGGGAAAGCCGTGAGTTGGGCGATTCCGAAGGCAGAAGGGCAGCCGAGGGTCCCCGCCGCGCCTTGCTCCACGCCTGCTTCAGATGCCAGCGCCCGGAGACGCCCGGGACCGCGATCACCTGGGCCTGAGCCCAGCGGAGCCCAAGGGAAGTTGAACTCCCAGTGGGCTCCGTAATACCTCCCGGTTTGCTCCGCCTTCGACCCGACAGCCTGTGCAGCGGGGCAGCAGTTTAGTAGGTGTGGTCGGTTGGCTGCAGCGGGAAAGAGATCAAGTCAAAAAAGGAAACGTGAAAAAGAGCGAGAGAAAGCAGAGGCATGGAGGAGAGACCTTACTGGAAGCCTGTGAGGAAGCTCGGGCCAGATCCTGAGGGATGAAAATTGTTTTTATTATGTAGCAGAATGAGGAGGAAGAATCGGAAAATAGCACGGAAGAGAGTAAAGCACGAGCATGTAGATGGCCAAGAATTCAACAGCAAAAATAGTGTGAATATATATATAAATTACTCCCAGGACCGCGATGCATCGTGACCGGACAGTGGTTATTGGTGTGTTGCGGCTACAGCAACTTGGGTCAAACCCCAGCCACAGCGGGGTACTTAGGTCTCTGATCGGTCATTCGACTGCTTTTAATGCCAGCACGAGCTAGTCCTCTTAGCAGCGGTCAGAGAGCAGAGCGTACCTCTGGCCCCACAGCACGATGCAGTCAGAAGAGAAATGACCCCCACAGTGCACAAATCTGTGGACGGCCGTTCAAAGCGAAATCTAGGTCTATTCCTTGTCTCGCTATTGAGCAGAAGAAGTCCCGAAGGGTGAAATACAGTCTCTCAAGGAGCCTTGTCTGTAGCTTCCTCTAAAGAAATAGTGGGGTCATAGCCGTTTTTCTAGCAGAGATAATTCAAGTATCAGGGAGCGTTTTTTACGCTAAAGGAGAATGAGTTTTTAATGCGTTTACAATAAAATGCAAACTAGTTGTCATGGTCTTTATCAGCTTGTCTCCATCCACCGTCCAGTGATTTTTTTTTTATGGGAACAGCAAATCATTGAATTCTAGTTCACATAGTTAAAAGCACACATCTTTAATGCACAGTTTGTTGAGTCTGGGCAAATGCAATCACTACCCAGATCGAGTTAGAGAAAACTGCCATCCTCCCAGAAATGTCTGTTGAATCCCTTTCCAGGAATTTCGTGCCCTATCCTGCTTAGTTAATTTCTATTCTGAGATCTATTGCCATAGATTACTACTGCCTGCTATTGAGATTCAAATGAATTAACAGACATTTTTGTATCTGGCTTTTTCATACAATATTAAGTTCATTCGACATATGCATATTTTTGTGTTTATCACTTCTTAACTTTGATGTTGGAGTAATTTTGGTGTTACTCGGTGTTCTTCATGAATATTCTTGGTGTTTTGATGAATATGCTCTACCAATCTTTTTGTGTACTTGTGCATTCACAGGAGTACTGCAACTGCTGGGTCATGGAGTAGGTACAAGATTAACTTTATTAGGAATTGTTAAACAGTACTCTAGAATGGCTTTGAACCAGCAACTACAGTAGCAATTGCTCCACATTGGTGTCAACATTTAGTGTAGAAATTCTTTTAAATATAGCCATGCTGGAGGGTGTGTAATAATATCTCCTTATGGTATTAGTGTGCATTTCCCTAACGAATAAAAATTTCAAAAAAATTTCCTTAAAACTTTGATCATTAAGATTTGCGATCCGGGAAGATCCCAGCTTAGGCTTCCCCGGAGAAGGACATGAGGTTGTTTGGTTGGTTGCTGGTCGACATAATGCCTCCTCCTGAGGCATCTCTCGGAGACAGAGACCTAGACTCAGGGTTTTGGGAGCAGGGACAGGTGCAGATCCAATGACTGACACAGCATTGTGCACAGGCCCGACCTCCCAAAACTTGGCCACATCTACACCTTGCCAGTTAAGCAAGGGCAGAATATATATTTTTTAAATTCTCTTTTATTTGATTCATGTTCTTTCCCCTGAGTAATTTGACTTTCTGATTCATCTCACTACCACAAACAAAGTGTTTCGATGCCATAATTAGAAGGTGGGTGTAGAAATCAATGCCAGAGTATCAAAACGATGATGATCAAAGCAAATGCCCCAACTTTTTCAACTGCTGTTGTTTCCAGTCCCCGTGGTCTCTACCATGCAGTGAGCACATTTTCCTTTTCCTGTCGGACACCAGCTCCGAAGACCTGTTGGGATAAATGTTGTTTCCACCATAAGGCAAGCGGATAGCCAGCGAGAGAGAGAAGGAAGGGATGTGATCGTGTCTGCAGAGGAAAGAAGTGGAATGTGTAGATGAGACAACACTGAGGCTGCGGATCCGTCGTTCTGGAGCCACTGCTGAAAGGTGGTCTGTCTGGTGGGCCAGGCTACAGATTCTCCCATGTGGGGGTGGGTGACGAGGGGAGGGAGCGATCTGGAGGGTATTTGCTTTAATTCCTTTGGGGAGCGTGGTTTAAAAATGGCGAAGGATGAGAGGAGTGGAGGGTGGTGACCCTGAGTGAACCTTGGTGGGCTAAGAGGCTGCACTGTGCCTGGGTGGGTACGTGTTCACAGTTGCCTGGTAGGAGAGATGCCATGATCTTGAAGGTGCTTTCCCCAGGGCGTCAGGCTGTCCATCACACTTGTGAAGTACTGACCTCTGCAATTTCTCCACGTTTGAGAGGGAAATTCGACTGCAGAATTGGTGGGGTTTGGGTTCCGACTCTCTCCTGATATTCCTCGGTTCGTGGTGACGACATCTCTTGCGTGATGCCTCAACTGTGGTCTGCCTGCTCAGGGTGAGAGGCTCGCCACATCTCTGGCTCCAATGCTTGGGAATTTGGGTGTACACCCGCATATCCTGGCCCTCCTATTCCTGACCAAAGTATGGATGGTCACACTTTTTTTTTTTTGCCATACCTCCTGTCTGTCCAGTTTGTGTTTGGGCGCAGTATCTGCTCATTGGATTTGGCACTGGTCTGGGCAGCCCTGCAGGCTGGCTGACAAGCACCAGCAGGAGAGAAGCCACAGGACTGGGATGGTGGGAAAACATAAGGGATGTCACCCAAAGGCCTCATGCTCAACCCTTGAGCTCCACTGTCCCTTTGGGGCCAGGTCAGAAGGAGGCACCCCTTCCAGGAACATGGGGCCCGAGACCTGCCTTCACAAGGAGGCTCCTGGCGCAAGCATGCCCTTTCTGTTCCAGGCCTAGCCAGCTCCATGGCCTCTCATCTGGCTTCCCCTCTTCCATCCCAGTGGTGTTGTTCGAGATAGTATGCCCCCCTCCCAACAAGCAGAAATGTCCCAACACCTCTCAAGTGCTTGGGGAGGGAGTTGAATCAATGTTTTCTAACAACTGGAGGACAGAGAACTTGTGGTGGCAGGAAGCAACCCCTTGCTTTGTTGGTTCTCTTGGCAGAAATGAGGGCCTGGAATGATCTCTTCTCCTCGAGGGCCCTAAGTCACTGGGCAAGTTGGCATCTCTCCCACTGCTCCTCAGGGAACAAAAGGAAATCCTGCAGGGTTGAATATTACCCAGAGGAGATGCCCAGAAAGCGCTCCAGTAGAGCCCAGAATTTGTGCACTGAACCACTTTGGAGTGATGTTTCCATTGACCCATCCTTCCCTCAGGGAACCTTGGAGAGCAGAGAAATGATGAAAGAGGATATGTCCTTCAGTGGCAGTAAAAAACTCCACTTTCTTCTGACTTGTCTCACTGCTCCCCTACTCCTCCTCTCTAGCATCTTTAGGATAGAAGGACACTGGTTTTGCTTTCCTTGCCAAATTCCTATCCATGGCGCCCGTACTTTTAATGGACAGTCATCTCATATCCACAAATTATAGTAGAAAGATATTCATATGAGCCTTTCCCAATGCTGTAGTTTGAAATTATCCAAATGTCCATCATTTGTAGTGTAGTTTTACATTAGTGCGATACTTACATATATATACATACTTATATATCAAAAATACAATGTTGCTTGATAATAGCTAGATAGAAAATTGTGTATTCTTTCACATGAACTTGAGGAAAGGATAAGCCTAATTTGCGGGGTAAACATCAGAATAGTGTAAAGTAGCAGGGGATGGATGGGCATTACCTGGAAAGTGTATCAAAGGGCCATGCTTGGATGCTAAAAATGCCTTGATCTATACCTTGATCCTGGTGATGATCACACATTTCAGTATTCAAATAGCCGCCCATTAATGACTTGTGCATTTTGTTCTGGTAAATGCACCGTAATAATTTCCTTTTAGTTTAAAAATTGGCAGTCGGATGTCCGAGAGTCTGGTGTAGACAATGACCAGACTGGAGTACACTATCAACTCTTTAAAGTCTGTTCTATTTTTGTGTAAAAAGGCCTCACTGATGTTTGAAATATATCCACCCGGAAGAGAAAAAAAAAAGATCCTTATGTGATGACCATTTCCTTTGTGGAAGGTACACACAAGGCTCATTTAGAGATTGAACCTGACCTTGAGATATTCTCTCTTAAATGGTGGGACGTGGAGCACGTGCAGAGAGCTTCAACCTAGTGCACCATTGGGTTGCCCTCCCTCCTCCTGAGCTCACTGCAGTTCGTGGCCAGCGAGAGGTGCTGCGTAGTCTACGCGGTTGTAAGTGCAAAAGGGAAACACTGCCGTGACTCGGATTCGAACCGAGGTTGCTGCGGCCACAACGCAGAGTACTAACCACTATACGATCACGGCACGCCACCGGCCCGGCGACAGGAAGCTGCTTTGCTCTACTAATTTTGACAGAAACCCATTCCAGTTACCGCGTTGCTTTCTTGTTGGACAACACCAGGTACGAGTCCGTTTCTTTTAGGTCCTCGCTTCGTTATTCCCTCCTCATTCTGATGCATTTCTCATCTGCCCTGCATCCAGGCTGTGCCTCTCTGCCCAGGTCTCCTGGGAATTATCTTTGCTTTGTCCTGTTCGCCCCTGCTTCCCCCCCTCCTCTTAATATTTCCTCTTTTGACCAACCTTCCCCATCCCCTTTCCCTTCCCGCCCCACCGACCGCTGCTGTGTAAAGTAAGGGCAGCGCCTGCGGCGCGGACAGTCGGGTGAAGGTGGAGCAAAGAACCCAGAGGAGCATCATGGAGCCCACCCGGCGCTCGGCTTCCCTCCGGCCCCACTCGTCTCAGGTCTGGCGGTCGCGGTCCCGGGCGTCTCCCGGGCGCTGGCATCTGAAGCAGATGTGGAGCCAGGCGCTTCGGGGACGCTCGGCTGCCCCTCTGCCTTCGGAATCGCCCGAAGCACGTCCCCACCGGACCAACAGGCCGCGTCGACTCCACTTCTCCGGTTTTCGGAGGCTTTGGAACGGGCGCCGCGGTCCTGAGAAGGACGAGTGGCTCAGCCCAGCGTGGAAGGAGAACTTGCTCTTCATGCGGAAGGGGGAGGGGAGGGGTGACTGTCCTTGCGTGTCTCTGTGGCGCAATCGGTTAGCGCGTTCGGCTGTTAACCGAAAGGTTGGTGGTTCGAGCCCACCCAGGGACGTGCCTCGGCTTTTTTAGGACCTGATTAAACGGTTTGCGATGTTTCTGGGCTGCACATCCTTTCATCTAGCCCTGAATGGAAGCCTCCATTGACTGCCTTGTCATCTGCGTCTTGTCCACAAGAAGAGAACCTAAGCCAACACCGTCGCTGATCCTCCCGGAAGAGCTCTGCAGGGAAACAGGCACTTGCGGTGCAGGATTCCTCGAAAGAATGGAGTGTTACCTCCGTATTCAACCCCAGTTGCAGCTTTAGCTTCGAGTAGAAACGAAGTTTTAGTGAAGTTTCATCCATTGTTTAACCCTTTATATATATGAAATTAATTGACTTCTATACCTTTATTACTACAAATAATACTACAGTCATGATTCTTGTACACATGTCTCTGGGTAGCGTGCCCAAAGGGCAATTGTTCATTCTATGAAGGAGTTTACATGGTTTTGTACATATGGTCCATTTTCTCACCTTGGTTGGCTTATTAGCTATAATATGCCAACGAAGGTTATTCAGCAGTTGATGAAATTCTGTTATTTCAGCGACTGCTTTAGCCTTTATAGCTCACGTCTGTAGCTCACCACAATCTGCCTTCAAGCGATGCCATAGGTGTTCACATGTCTCCCCTGCCTGCCTTTATGCTATTGTCATGCATGTTATTTTGCATGTTATAAACCCCACAATCCAAGGTTATTACTTTTGCTGAGTGTCCCATGTTTTAAAAGAGATTTAATTAACAAGAAAAAATCTTATATATTATCCCATGTAGATCCCACGTCCCCTGCCCTTCATTCCTTTTTGTGCATCCAGAATTCCGTCTGGTGTGAGCTTTCTTTTGTGGGGAGGACTCCTTTAACCTTTCTTGTGGTGTGGGTCTCCCGGTAATTAAGTCTTTCAACATTTCTTCAAAGACTTTTTTGAGGGGAGGAGGCATAGAATTCTATGTTAACCTTTATTCCCTCAGTCCTTCAAAGATGTTTCTCCACTGTCTTTTTCACTTGCAGTGCTTCAGATGAGAAATCTGATATTTCTTCAATCTTATGTCTTATTCCTCTGGCTGCTGTTGAGATTTTTTTTCTCCAATTGATATGAGCAACTTAATTATTATGTGACTGGGTGTGGTTTTCTTCATATTTACTGTGCTTGGGGTTCGTTTGACTCCTTGGGTCAGTGGTTTATACTCTTCATTATGACTGGATAATTTTCTGTCATTGTTTCCCCCAAATGAGTCTGCTTTTGGGTCTAAAGCTGTGGTACATGGTAGCAGGAGGTCCTGAGGAGGATCAGCAGACCCATGCAAGTCAGCTACTTTAACCTCAGAGGGAGAGCTTAGAGCTTCTTTAGGTAAGTGGAGGTAACCTACTTCAGGTAACCTCTTCAAACAAGGGAGGAAGGGCTGCTTCTCAGGTAACCTGAGGCTTGGTGCAATTTAGGATTTCAGGAGCCCCAGGTTCATCAGAATCTGCCCATACAACCCCATTCCAATGATACCGGTCCTTCTTAATAAATGCCCTAACTTGAACATAACAGATCCTGTGATGTTGAGAGTTCAATTTAGATTTACTTTGCAGAACGCAGGTCTAGACTTATACTATTAAACAAGGTTTAAAGATTGTTTCTGTTTTCGTTTTAAAAATAAGATAAAAATAGAAGCTTTCAGTTCCCTAACCTAAATC